ATTTTCAGCAGAAAATTGCTCAAACTTAGTCAGAATCATCTTGGGTAAATGAGAGTTTTACTTTGTAAAATTAGGATTCCTGCCCCATCCCCAGGGGCTAGGGCGGGGCCCCAAAGGGAACATTTACCAATATTTTCAAATTCTTATCCATTGATGACATGACAAGTATTGTATTTCACTTAGTTTACATGCTGATTTCCACATCACATCTAAACAATAAAATAAAGCTACCAGTATCTATGATATAACTCAGGTGACCGCTAAGGCCCTTGGGCCTCTTGTTTAATTATAGCCTTTGGCTGAGGTCGATATCTGGATTTATCGACCCGAGAAAAGATGTATTAACGGAGGACACAGTCCGAGGTCAATATTTCTTTTCTCGTGTCGATAAATCCAGGTATTGACTGAAGTTAAAGTCTACAATTGTTTTATTATTTTACAAAACAGTAATGAAAGCAATCTAAAAAAAACACAACAAAAAAGCTTTCGGAAGTGGGACGATGCATTGTTTGGAGGCACGTCATTCTTCTATTTTTAGAAACACCCAGTCCTTCAACAAAAATCATGCGCTCCAAGTCAATATCGGTTTTTATCGGTGGACACGTGATGCACTCCTGACCAATCACTTGTCGGGAATAATATGAAAAAATAATAAAATTATATATAACCACTAATCATAAAATATGAATGCATAAAATGATATTTTTTTTATCTGAATTACAGTAACTGGTAATAGGAAGATTGTTTCACAAAAAAATATTTCATCACTTTTGGTGGAACTGAAAATTACAAGGTATCATTTCAAAATAATCACCATGTTTTACAATCATTCAATGAACTACTTGTTTTTACAAATTGCTGTATAATTAATTCTGTATCCACATCCTCAGGTTTTCCACAAACCATTACTGGAGGGTAATGGTATGACAGAGGAGGAGTTGGCAGCCATCTTTGTCAACTGGAATGAGCTGATCGTGTGCAATACAAAGTTGTCAAAGTAAGTCGCTGATAAAATCCTGTAAGTTTGTGGTCAAAGATTATTTGATGTAGAGGTCAAATAGACAAACTGAACAATAGACGCAGATGATTGGTTTTAACAATAGTTGAATCACTTATTTGAGAACGATAAAGCACAGTATACCATACAATTCTTTTTGCCAAGTGTAAAGTTACCAGTATTATCATATACATATCGGTTTTCATTGCACAGATGGATCTTTGAGTACCCCTGTGAAATGTTTTTGAACAATGCAAGAACAGTTCTTTAACTGCTCTAGAAGGAAAGGGCAAGAATATTTCATTAACAGTTCAAGTACAGTACATGAATGTTAAATGAGTCAAACTGTCTATTAAAAGAGCATGCTTCAGCTAACTTGAATATATCACATTTTGAAGGAATTTCCTCCGTATGAGAATTCTCAGTATCCTACCTATCATGCTTGTCACTATTATAACAACAATCTCTCCACGTGTAGGGCGATGAAGGTGCGTAAAAAGATGCGTGGGAAAGGTCAAGTGATCCAAGTCATTGGAGACATTCTATGTGAAAACGTAAGTGTTTGTCACCCTCTGTCCTAAAATCACAATAATGGAAACTTCCGCTGTCAAACCACAAATATGTGTGATATTGTGATGGTAACATTATCTACAATAGGGGCACATTTGGGTATCTGGTTGAAACGGTTGAACCTGTAAAGAAAACGACAGGAACAGATCTCAACCGAGGCTGTCCTCAGGAAAATTTGGCACGTGTAGATTGAGGGGTCCAGACGTACCTGACCGAAACTAAAATGCTGACTATTGCCAGTTTGCATTATTTCTTTATAAAACAATGTCAATGTAATTCAGTGGGAGGATGAAAGAAGGGCATACTTTTCTTGATACATTGTTTTTTATTCTCCGAAACTGCATTTTTAGCTCTGTTTATAGAAGGGTCCAAGTGCATTCGTTTATCGTGGAATATTTCTGCGCCACACGTACCGTTTCAACCGGGATACGCGAATGTAGCCTAGGTCTGTAAGAACATGTATATTTTGTATACAGAGAAATTTACACAGCAGTTTAACTTTTGCCTTTTTTGCTTACCATGATGAGGGCCATTTTTTCTTTACAGTATATACTTTTTGCCTTTGTTCTGGGTTGACACGAATATTTGTCCACCTGAGAAAAGTTATGTCCCTTGCTGGCGAAGATCTGTTATTTTTTCATGCTGTCAATATCCGCCATGTTGACAAGTAGGTGGTCACATTCAGAACTCCTCAGAAGTCATCCTTTCAAGTGGCGCATCAAATATGAATGCATAACAAACTTGTGAAGGGCAAAGTTAATGCTGTGTGACTATGGATTTTATCAGTGAAGGTCATTAGTTTTACTGAACGAAAGTTTCCCGTGCAGCATACTGTAGTTGACAGTTCTCCCCTCTGCAAGAATCTAACTACATTGTTTCCTTGACAACAACTGTATGCCAGATTGATCACTATTTGGCTGTCAAGATAATAATAAGAAATCCAGATTAACTGTCACCATTGTATTGTCATCAGTGAATTGAAAATATTGAATACATTTTTTTCTACTCACTCATTAATTATAACAGTGACTGTTTTTGTTTTCTAAGATTCATAATTTTTTCAAAATTCAAAATTATCATCCTGTTAACCCTTTCACCACTGTAGACCATAATGGACTTATCCACATAAGCGCATGGCAGATTCCACTGAAGTTACATAGGGGTGAAAGGGTTAATTAATTCACTTTTGTAATGATCCTGTTTCTTCTGCCTTACAGTTGCCTCACTTGACACCCTATATCCGTTTCTGTAGCTGTCAACTCAACGCAGCAGCCCTACTTCAACATAAAACAGAAAACTCACCAGAGTTTAAAGAACTTCACAAGGTAACATCGTCAACCAAGCAGAATGTCGTGTTTACTTCAGTTCATGTCTGTGTATATATCTGTGTATATTTCACTTGATCAAATCAATATTAATATTTTCTTAGAAGACTTACCTGAATACTTTGATGCTTTGTGGAATGTGTAACTTTGACATCAAATATCCTGTATGCTTAGTGCTGTCAAATACCGGCATGCGTTTATTGTACTTAAACTAAAAAAAAACATGTTTTCTTTGAAGTTGTAGAAAAGATGATCTAAAAGCATTGATTTTCAACATAAATGTATTTCTGAGGAGAGTTGTTTAACTGCTGTACTTGTTGTGAGATTTTGTGGGACATATGAATCGGATTAAAACCTCTTTTGCCAGATCAATAAAAATAAATCTCCAACATGATAAAAAAAAATCATATGATTAACTGACTGTGGATGTGGTTCTGTATGAAGCTATGAACATACATTTATTTAATTCCAATATATAGTAGCTCATTGGCACAATTTAACTATGAATCAGCAAAATGTATTTAAAAATCTTCAATAACATTTATTACATGCATGAATATTTCTCGCAATCACATTGGTCGGAACCTATACACGTGACCAGTCCTCAAAAAGTCTTATTATATGCATGAAAATTTCTCGCAATCACATTGGTTGGAACCTATACACGTGACCAGTCCTCAAAAAGTCATGTAGACTGGTTATCCGGTGAGTATCGATTTCTAAATATAGCCTGTATGGAAATTCCCCGGAACCTGTCGTAGCGCATGCGCAGTTAGACTGGAACGCGATCTGTCAGACGACATTAGAAGATGGCTGCTGGCGAACGTTTCTCCTCCGTTACATCAGAAAATTACCAAAACTATTTGAGGATAAAGATGCTGTTAACGTTAAAAGGCCATTGGACACGCAGTGCATGTCCTCCATGCTTATCTTAAGAAAAATAATCTAGACGATGCCTAGACGCGTACAAAAATCAAAACCTTTAGTTTTGTTTTGTTTTATTTTATTGTTGAAACATAATAAAACAGTTATGGGCTTTTGTGCTGGTAAATATGATGTGATTTGAACCTGAAAGAGTGATATTGACCGAGGCTTCGTATTCACCAGCACAAAAGTCCATAATTGTATAATGTATGATGTATGTGGTATCATGTTTTATGTGTTACAGAAATGTGTGACAGATCCACGGACGAAAGGCATGCCTCTCAGTAGCTTCCTCCTGAAACCAATGCAGAGAATAACCAAGTACCCACTAATGATAGGGAAGGTAGGTATACACAAGCACCACTGATCAGCAGATATATAGGTATTCCTGGTGTAGCTTCCTTCTCGGAGGATAACCAAGTACCCACTAATGATAGGGAAGGTAGGTATACATAAACACCACTGATCAGCAGATATATAGGTATTCCTGGTGTAGCTTCCTTCTCGGAGGATAACCAAGTACCCACTTATGATAGGGAAGGTAGGTATACATAAACACCACTGATCAGCAGATATATAGGTATTCCTGGTGTAGCTTCCCTCTCGGAGGATAACCAAGTACCCACTTATGATAGGGAAGGTAGGTATACATAAACACCACTGATCAGCAGATATATAGGTATTCCTGGTGTAGCTTCCTTCTCGGAGGATAACCAAGTACCCACTTATGATAGGGAAGGTAAGTATACATAAACACCACTGATCAGCAGATATATAGGTATTCCTGGTTTAGCTTCCCTCTCGGAGGATAACCAAGTACCCACTTATGATAGGGAAGGTAGGTATACACAAGCACCACTGATCAGCAGATATATAGGTATTCCTGGTGTAGCTTCCTTCTCGGAGGATAACCAAGTACCTTCTTATGATAGGGAAGGTAGGTATACACAAACACCACTGATCAGCAGATATATATAGGATCTTAAATGAGTTTCCATTTCATATGAGATTTATGAAACAAGTCTAACGATTTTTTTAATATTGTGCGTCTCTGGCGAGCTAAAATAAAAACTTTGTGACGAGTTTCATAAATTTCAAATGAAATGAAAACGAGTGTAAAATCCTTTTTAACACATTGTCAAGATTTGTGGCATTCATTCGTGTAAAACGACAATTTTCATGCAGCCTTGAAATGTAAAAAGATGCCATTTTGACTCCAGTGCGCAAGTCTGTGACGTCATGTACCAGCCAATTACAGGGCTGAAAGGTCATATTACATGGGTTAGTATGCTAAAAAATTGACATGGGCATATTCACTGGATAACACATTACATTATGTGATAAGTTTGTATAAAGGTTAAACCTGCAGTAGAAGGCTTCCTTCTCGGAGAATCACCAAGTACTCACTTATGATAGAAAAGAAATGAATAACACTAAAATAACTCTGTTTACAGTATGAAAGTTCACTACAGCGTATTTTGTTATAAGGAGGCACGGTAGTCTAGTGGAAGGACATGGTTGGGTAGTGCTAGAATTGTTGAATGCTAGCTGTGAGCGCATCAACATAGTAATCTGTTCTTTAACCACCTTACATAATTAAGGACTGGCTTTTGTTCCCAGATCCTGCAGTACACCCCAGTGGGCCACCCCGATCATCAGAATCTGATGGATGCTCTGTCCAAAGCAGAGGAACTGTGTAGCCAGGTCAACGAGGGCGTACGTGAACGGGAGAATTCTGACCGTCTCGAGTGGCTTTTTAATCATGTCCAGTGTGATGGTCTATCGGAGGTAAGTAGGCAAAGTCAAGGTCATACGTACGCGGATTTGGAGAAATGTTGTCGGTATTATTATACTGTAACCTGATGTTGAGTAGTCTGTCAGGAATTATTCTGCATGCAATATAATGTGAATCATATTCTGCATGCAATATAATGTGAATCATATTCTGCATGCAATATAATGTGAATCATATTCTGCATGCAATATAATGTGAATCATATTCTGCATGCAATATAATGTGAATCATATTCTGCATGCAATATAATGTGAATCATATTCTGCATGCAATATAATGTGAATCATATTCTGCATGCAATATAATGTGAATCATATTCTGCATGCAATATAATGTGAATCATATTCTGCATGCAATATAATGTGAATCATATTCTGCATGCAATATAATGTGAATCATATTCTGCATGCAATATAATGTGAATCATATTCTGCATGCAATATAATGTGAATCATATTCTGCATGCAATATAATGTGAATCATATTCTGCATGCAATATAATGTGAATCATATTCAATTCTCAGATTGTATTACCGGTACATGTTTGTAATGGGTAAGAACAGAATATTGTATAGTCTCAAATATGACTTTAAGAACAATGAAACAGGAAACATATACTAGCTATTGTTCTTTTTCATCAATTAATCAAAATGTGTCAATTCAGCAAATGCAAATATTCAATATGTAAAAATTAATCCAATGAATCAGTTGTATTGGACACAAGCTTAAGATAATGTGTCATGTAAGACCAGAGATAATCTCTTCTACTAGACATAAGATCATCCATCTTTGGCCAAAGATAAAATGTTGTATAAGATAAAGATGATATGTTTTACCAGGATGACTTCTTTCATCTGAAATTGTAAGGTGTTTTGTTTTCAGAAAATTACATTTAACTCGGTAACAAACTGCCTGGGACCAAGGAAACTGTTATACTCAGGGACACTGTACAAGGTAGGACTACAAACTTTTCTTTCTCCCTGGTATGGGTAAACACAGCTGGATCGCAAACAGGTGATGACACATCCTGATGTATGTCAGGTCAACTGAGTTTATTCAGGTGATTTTATAATGTGAGGTTGGTACAAATATCACCACAACTGGGAGTGACAAAGCTGACAGTGGCAGTGAAGGTCAAAATTATTATCTGTGAGTTTGATGCATTAATGGACAAGCTTCTGTCTACTAGGTTAAGCTTATATTGATCTTTGCCTGAATGCTGAACACATATATAGCCTTTTAATTGTATGTTTTCATTTTGGTAACTCCATATATATATATATATATGATATGATATTGTTACTTTAGCTCACCTGGCACAAAGTGCCAATTGAGCTTGGGGTATGGTGTATTGTCCATTGTCTGACAACTTTATATTTCAAACAAATTCTTCTTAAGAATTTGAGGACCTTTGGCCAGTAAGTACCTGGGAGTGCTACAAATTTTCCTCAAATACATGACCTTGAACTACTTTCAAGGTCAAAGGGGTCAAAATATTTAAAAACGTTTAAAATAACTTTTTCTGAATAACCAGGAGGTCCAGAGTGATGATACTTGGCCAGTAGATACCTGGGATGGAGTGCTATAAGCTTTCCTCAAATAAATGCCATTAAACTACTTTCAAGGTCAAAGGGGTCAAATATGTAAAAACCATTTTTTTTGAAATAGCCAGGTGGCTCAGGGCAATGATAGCAATATATGAAATATTTGCAAAACAACTTTTATAGAGAATATTTTCTCATGATTGCTCAAATATCCAGGTGAGCGGTTCTGGCCCTTAGGGCCTCTTGTATTTATATAAAATGTTGTTGTTGCTTCTTGTAAATGATATGTTACTTTATGTATATGAAATTTGTTACTTTGTATGATGAAATGGTGTGGTTAAATTACAGAACAAAAGTAACAAGGAGCTGGTTGGTTTCCTGTTTAACGACTTCCTGATGCTGGTGGTACCTCTGACCAGTTCCACGTCGGTGTTCGTGTTTGACCCCAAAGCAAAGGCTCAGTACAAGATGTACAAGTCGGTGAGTATCCCAGACCAAAGGCCTCATTCCTACCAGTACACACTGCTCCTGTAAACTTAGAAACTGTATAATCTTCAGAAATCATCCTTTGATTTAGATAAATCTTATTGATATTTTAATAAATGTTTACTTTTATAACATATAAGTAAATACAATATGTTGCAGCCAATTTTCCTAAATGAGGTGATGGTGAAAAAGAGCGCGGATGAAGATTCAGAGACTTGTCAGTTCCAGCTGTCTCACGTAGACCGAGTGTTTAACCTCCGATCAACCACCCAGACAGAACGGTAGGATCCCTAGGGCTTTCAAACATGGCATTCACTCAGAATGTTAGGTATTTTTGATAATCTACTGGAAATACACTCATAATGTAAGGTATTGTGCATACCTAAGTCTAACTGATTGAATTTGAATGTTCGGTCGTGTTGACAAAGGTAAGTCTACCTGATATACATTGTTAGATCTTGTGAATATATCGGACTGAAATACACTAAGAATATTAAGTTTTGTGGGCAAATCTGACTTATAAACATCATGTGTTCGGTGTTATTGGTAAGTCTACCTGCAACTCACTCAGTGAGTCACGGTAGTCCAGTGGTAGGAAGCCGGGCTCATGCCCGAAGGGTTACGGGTTCGAGTCAAGTCACGGCATTGTGTTGTATTTTTGGACAAGATACTTTACTTTGCATGTTTCACTCTACTCAGCTGTACACGAGTATGTTGTTCAGCAGTGCTAGAATTGTTGAATGCTAGCTGTCAGCAGAAACGGCTGTATGCTCCCCATGGAGTTGAGAAAGATATTGGCTGGTTGCAAGGCCTTATAAACACGAATAATAATTTGCGAACCACCACTTTGAGACGACCTATGAACTAGGTTGTGATACATAGGTATACAAGAACCTCAAATTATTATTATTATTATTATTAGTGTTAAGTTTTGTGAATAAGTTTGGTCAAAATACACCATACAACAGCTCTTGTACTTACATGTTGTAACAAACTTTCACAAATAGGACCGGTACTCCATATGGCCACATCCACTGTCATGTTCTGTTACAGGGATGCTTGGTGTAAGAAAATAGAAGCAGCTTCGCGACACTACCTGGAAACGGAGAAACAGAAGCGTGAGAAGACACACCAATGTAAGTGACATCCTACAACTGTTCACCATGTAACTGATACTACTCCCAAGTTCACTGCCATTTTGACAATTATCAAACATATATACTACTTTTTCTACAAATCACTCAATTACTATAATAGTCTTGATGGAATCAAATATATAGTTCACCTCATTACACAGTCGTATTACTGTATAACATTATTCAATTATTTTATAATTTGCTCAGTTATTTAAGGATGCTCCTAAAGTAAGTGTCCTCTGTAGAGGCTGTAGCCTACGCTTACTTACTAAGTGACAATTATAGCACCTTTAGCCTTCACTTACTTCTGAAGTAAATGTCCCCTGTAGCCTACACTTACTACTGAAGTTAGTGTTACCTGTAGCCTTCACTTACTTCTGAAGTTAGTGTCCCCTGTAGCCTACACTTACTACTGAAGTTAGTGTTACCTGTAGCCTTCACTTACTTCTGAAGTAACTGTCCCCTGTAGCCTACACTTGCTACTGAAGTTAGTGTTACCTGTAGCCTAAACTTACTACTTAAGTTAGTGCCCCCTGTAGCCTCCTCTTACTTCTGAAGTTAGGGTCCCCTTTAGCCTACACTTACTTCGGAAGTAAATGTCCCCCGTAGCCTACACTTACTACAGTTATTTAAGGATGCTCCTAAAGTAAGTGTCCTCTGTAGAGGCTGTAGCCTACGCTTACTTACTAATTGACAATTAGAGCACCTTTAGCCTTCACTTACTGCTGAAGTTAGTGTTCCCTGTAGCCTTGACTTACTACTGAAGTTAGGGTCCCCTTTAGCCTACACTTACTGCTGAAGTTAGTGTCCCTTGTATCCTTCACTTTCTTCTGAAGTAAATGTCCCATGTAGCCACCACTTACTACTGAAGCTAGTGTCCCCTGTAGGCTTCACTTACTTCAGAAGTTAGTTACCCCTGTAGCCTACCCTTACTTCAGAAGTTAGTTACCCCTGTAGCCTACATTTATTTCTGAAGTAAATGTCCCATGTAGCCACCACTTACTACTGAAGTTATTGTTCCCTGTAGCCTTGACTTACTACTGAAGTTATTGTTCCCTGTAGCCTTCCCTTACTTCGGATGTTAGTGTCCCCTATAGCCTACACTTACTCCTGATGTTAGTGTCCCCAGTAGCCTACACTTACTGCTGAAGTTAGTGTTCCCTGTTGCCTTCACTTACTACCGAAGTTAATGTCCCCTGTAGCCTACGCTTACTTACTAATTGACAATTAGAGCACCTTTAGCCTTCACATACTTCTGAAGTAAATGTCCCCTTTAGCCTTCACTTACTACCGAAGTTAATGTCCCCTGTAGCCAACACTTACTACTGAAGTTAGTGTCCCCTGTAGCCTACACTTACTTCAGAAGTTAGTGTCCCCTGCAGCCTACACTTACTTCTGAAGTAAATGTCCCCTGTAGCCTTCACTTACTTCAGAAGTTAGTGTCCCCTGTAGCCTACACTTACTACTGAAGTTAGGGTCCCCTGTAGCCTACACTTACTTCTGAAGTTAGTGTCCCCTGTAGCCTACACTTACTTCAGAAGTTAGTGTCCCCTGTAGCCTTCACTTACATCTGAAGTAAATGTCCCTTGTATCCTTCACTTACTTCTGAAGTAAATGTCCCCTGTAGCCTTCACTTACTTTAGAAGTTAGTGTCCCCTGTAGCCTACACTTACTTCAGAAGTTAGTGTCCCCTGCAGCCTGCACTTACTTCTGAAGTAAATGTCCCCTGTAGCCTACACTTACTTCTGATGTTAGTGTCCCATGAAGCCTACACTTACTTCTGAAGTTAGGGTCCCCTGTAGCCTACACTTACTTCTGAAGTTAGTGTCCCCTTTAGCCTACACTTACTTCTGAAGTTAGTGTCCCCTGTAGCCTACACTTGCTACTGAAGTTAGTGTTACCTGTAGCCTTCAATTACTTCAGTAAATGTCCCCTGTTACACTTACTTCTGAAGTTAGTGTCCCCTGTAGCCTACACTTACTTTTGAAGTTAGTGTCCCCTGTAGCCTTCACTTACTACTGAAGTTAGTGTCCCCTGTAGTCTACACTTACTTCTGATGTTAGTGTCCCCTGTAGCCTTCACTTACTTCTGATGTTACTGTCCCCTGTAGCCTTCACTTACTACTTAAGTTAGTGCCCCCTGTAGCCTACACTTACTTCTGAAGTTAGTGTCCCCAGTAGTCTACACTTTACATGCATTGAGACATGAGACTTTTGGCTTAGATTTCTTTAACAGTTGTTTTCAATTATCTGTTTTGAAAATTTTAAATTGTAATGAAAAGAGACAATGTTTAATGTTATACAGTATTCTGTACTACCGGAATGATCAGGATCTTTTGACTGTTCAATAATCTTGAATGTATTCTTAAAATTTGACGATATCCTTCAGTTACAGGCCTTTTTCTTACCTATATATTTCGGCCAAAATTGGGCTGCAGTTTCTTTCATATTCAGACATTTTAATAAATTTAAAAAAAATATTTCGCTTGCAGCATACTTCAAAATTAACTTCATATTAAGAAAAACTACAATAAAAAATCAGAAAGTAGCAATTATGAAATACCCAGGAAAATCCCTGATTTATTTTACTGCTGTAGTTCATTTTCCTTACAATTATTATTTTCATAAGCATCACTCATAAATCAATAAGTCATGAGGTGTTGGAGGTGGGTTTACGTGATTGGAATGGATGTTTGGGTAATTCAGATTATTAAAAAAATTCTTGTTCTTCATTTTACTTCACAAGTTTGATATGTAATTAAGTATTTTGTGTCTGTAAAATTGCCTCCCAATCCTCCTGAATATATATGTTCATTTGTATGATAAACTCTCCAATATTTTCCTTGATAATAAACTAAATTGTTACAGTGATCAGATGTGAAATCCAGGAAAAAAACAAATTCTACAAATAAGTATAGGGTATCATTTGATGGCCTGTGAAATCCAGGAAAAAAACAAATTTCACAAATAAGTATAGGGTATCATTAGATGGCCTGTGAAATCCAGGAAAAAAACAAATTTCACAAATAAGTATAGGGTATCATTAGATGGCCTGTGAAATCCAGGAAAAACAAATAATTTCATAATTAAGTATAGGGTATCATTTGATGGCCTGTGGAATCCAGGAACAAAACAAATTCCACAATTAAGTGTAGGTTATCATTTGATAGCCTGTGGAATCCAGGAACAAAACAAATTTCACTATTAAGTATAGGGTATCATTAGATGGCCTATGAAATCCAGGAAAACAAATAATTTCACAATTATGTATAGGGTATCATTTGATGGCCTGTGGAATCCAGGAACAAAACAAATTCCACAATTAAGTGTAGGTTATCATTTGATAGCCTGTGGAATCCAGGAACAAAACAAATTTCACTATTAAGTATAGGGTATCATTAGATGGCCTATGAAATCCAGGAAAACAAATAATTTCACAATTATGTATAGGGTATCATTTGATGGCCTGTGGAATCCAGGAACAAAACAAATTCCACAATTAAGTGTAGGTTATCATTTGATAGCCTGTGGAATCCAGGAACAAAACAAATTTCACTATTAAGTATAGGGTATCATTAGATGGCCTATGAAATCCAGGAAAACAAATAATTTCACAATTATGTATAGGTTATCATTTGATGGCCTGTGGAATCCAGGAACAAAACAAATTTCACTATTAAGTATAGGGTATCATTAGATGGCCTATGAAATCCAGGAAAACAAATATTTTCACAATTATGTATAGGGTATCATTTGATGGCCTGTGGAATCAAGGAACAAAACAAATTTCACAATTAAGTGTAGGTTATCATTTGATAGCCTGTGGAATCCAGGAACAAAACAAATTTCACAATTAAGTGTAGGGTATCATTTGATGGCCTGTGAAATCCAGGAAAACAAATAATTTCACAATTAAGTATAGGGTATCATTAGATGACCTGTGAAATCCAGGAAAAGAACAAATTTCACAAATAAGTATAGGGTATCATTAGATGGCCTGTGAAATCCAGGAACAAAACAAATCCTACAATTAAATTTTGGTCAATTATAAAATAGGTTCTGTTAACTGTTCCTTTACAGTACTTATCTGACAGTAAGCCCATGCCTGGTAGTTACCCCACCAATGTATTGGAATTCAGTAGGAATTCAAACCCATGCAATATCTCTGACCTGTTATAAGTCTGTGTCCTCCTTTAAATAAGAGATTATGAGTTAGTCCTCTGAACTTATCATAGGGTAGATATGGTGAACTTATCATAGGGTGGATATGGTTAACTTATCATAGGGTGGATATGGTTAACTTATCATAGGGTGGATATGGTGAACTTATCATAGGGTGGATATTGTGAACTTATCATAGGTTGGATATAGTGAACTTATCATAGGGTAGATATGGTCAACTTATCATAGGGTGGATATGGTGAACTTACCATAGGGTGGATATGGTGAACTTATCATAGGGTGGATATGGTGAACTTATCCTAGGGTAGATATGGTGAACTTATCAAAGGGTAGATATGGTGAACTTATCATCGGGTAGATATGGTTAACTTATCATAGGCTAGATATGGTACTCTTGATTTTGTCTTTCACTTTCTAAATCACTAAGCTGTCTTGAATTAAAAAAAACAAAAACCATTTTCATTTGTTTTTACGTGTATACAGCAAACGAGTTTGAAACAATCATCAATATATATTCCTGTTTCCTGGTATACGGGTATCTGTAAATGGCTTAACTTACTGATAACCTTCCTGAGGTGTTTTTTTCTGTATCCGTGATGATGACCAATTTCTAATATAAAGAATCTAGATGTCCAAATTTTTGTTGAGCGTAATGAAATTAAAAAATCTGCCTTGTTTATACAACACACTACCTGCTTACTTTTCTTTCATTGTTCAAACTCTTTGGTTGGTGAACTTTGCTCCACATTGATGTCTGAAACATTTTATATCTCAAAGGATGCTGAGTTGTTTAAAGATCAAAATTTATATACAAATAACATCTGAACAGGATGAGATAAATGTATTAATATTACAACTAGGAAAATGTATTAAAAGCTATTATTGAATGGCCAACAGTTTCGGTAACATTTTGACCCATCAGAAGATGGATAATCCATTTTTAAAACGCTGACATGTTAGATGTTATAATTATACATTTACAGGTAGTACCAATATATTCTGATCTCTTTGTGTATTCCGTCTTTTCGTATTGCAGAGTTATTTTCTCGTGTGAGCAGGTATTGATTGTTACGTCATTAGTTTGTGTGAGAAAATGACGTCGTTTTCTCAAGAAATGATGACGTTACTCTCACAAACAAATGACGTAACAATCAATACCTGCTATCAAGAGCAGATAACTCTGCAATACGAAAAGATTGAATAAGATAAATGTAAAACATGGAAGATTGTGATTTACATATCACAGAACCTGAATCCAATATCTCCACAAATTTGTCCCAGTTTCGGATTGTTAAGCAAACAGATATTTCCTTTAACCCTTTAATGGTAGACAATAATGGACTCATCCAGATGAATGTATGGTAGAGTCTACTCAAGTTACCTAGGGGTGAAAGGGTTAAGTAATCAGTGGCCAGGAATTTAGACATATATTTTTACATGTATCACAACAACATCATAATTCTAAAAGTGGCCATTTTGTTGGTGACTCAGATAAAGCCAGGATTATAGGGATCAAACATTTATCATCCTTTCTATCATATCATGCTGCTTTACTTTCCTCTCAGCTGTCACTAAGGCCAACATTGTTGGCCGCCTGCTGGTCATTATCGCCGAGGGTATAAACCTTGCGCCCTCACAGGACGGTAAGACCACACTGGGTTATCTCCCCTTCCACTCATTCTAGTCAGCCTTAAGTTATAATTATTCATGTGCTTTATTTTGTTTTGCATTGTTAAGCATCATGAATTTTGTTTGCTTTCATCCATTTTTCTTTCCATTAGTAGTTTTGTTGTTGTGAATTCATGGTTGCATGCTTTGTGCTTCAGAATCTATCAGAATGATAAAACTTTGTTTTGTGCTGAAAGTATTTATGATCCGAGATATGCAAATTCAACTGTTAGCAGATTATAACTGCATTCATAAAGGCAGTGTAACAGCTTCAAGCTTAATTATTATGTTTCCTGCATATTATATACTTTAACCCTTTCACCACTGTAGACCATCATGGACTCATCCAGATGAATGTATAGTAGAGTCAACTCAAGTTACCTAGTGGTGAAAGGGTTAATTACATATTTTGAATGTATAGGTGTTGTGGTAGAAATTCTGGGACTGAAAATTACTCCAGAATAAATATGAAAATTTGAATCAGTACATGTCTCATCAACACCTGACAAAGTGGACAATTTTACTATACAATGTGTCATTCTGCTGGATTGTCTGAAGTCACCTTTCACTTACCACAGTGAAGATCACAATCCTACATACATCATTTTCCCCACTGATTCCCTATCTGACCTAGTTCTAATGGCAACAAATCCATGGACATCAACTAAAGAATCAGCTTACAAGTTTTAAAAAAAAATAGTCAATCCTTTTCGTAAAAAAAATATAAATGTATACAAATCATCTAAAAATGTTAAAATTCTGTAGTAGGCCTAGGATTTGTGTTGGACATCATGGGACTCTAATATTAAAGCATATAACATAGAATCACCTTGGAATGGATAGAACCCAATATATTGGCCTAGAGTATTGTTAGTGTTAGATATAGAGGCATTGTAGTACAGGTATAACCCTATATTTTACCTAAAGTATCGTTTATATCAGATATGTAACCTGTGTTAGCTATTGCATGACTTTATTCTGTACTGTTGGTAAGTTATGTTTGACTTGCATGCGTGTTATGTCTGGGTACAGTGCGACACACAGGAGGGGTTGGCCGTCTGCTCGTGTTGATCCTCGAGGCCTGTCACCTACAACCCAGTGACGACAACGGTACTGTATACACACATTTCCATAGCAACCGATTTGTGCTTTTAATATTCTAAATTCTGTAATCTCGCATGCCATCATTCTGTGTTAAAAATCTCATAAATTATAAAAGGACAATGTTTTAATATCTTTCGGTATTTCTTATGTTAGGAGGAGGCACAGTAGTCTTGTGGTAGGACGCCGGGCTTGTGACCGAAGGGTCGTGGGTTCGAGTCATGTCACAGCACTGTGTTGTATCCTTGGACAAGATACTTTACTCCGCTTGTTCCAGTAATTTGTGAACCGCTTTGGGATGACCTACGAACTAGGTTGTGATGAAGCGGTATATAAGAACCTTAAATTATTATTATTGTTTATTATTATGTAAAGCGTACAGCATACAAAACAAATCACTTGGCTACGTTTAGTATTTTGAAAAGTTGATTTTAAAATTTCATGAAAAGTTAGTTAAAAGGTTCTTAGGAATAGTAGATCTGATTTTAGACAACCAAAACTATTGGCTTGTTGCTGAATATTGTCATTTTCATTCTGATGTTTTTGTAATTCGTGATTAAGATATGTACATGAAATTTTGTACAACTTGAAATCATCTAAGTGTTTGTAGATATATCACAGCCATTGCTGCTTATCACTGATATTGTGTGAATAATTATCCTGGTGATTAAGTTTTAAGTAACTTATATGTGAGAATTTAAATCTACAAAGTAAACAACAGTTTCAATTTGTCTTTAACTTAATATTTGATATACATACTCGAAATTTACGCTAAAAAATATCTTGAAAAATATAGTACTTTCAGTTCCAGAACACCGTGTCGAGCTGAATATACCTAAATATTTGTAAATACGACTCCAGACCTGTAATGACCAACTTTGACCCGATTGGTAGCTAAATGCAAAGCTTGCTGTAAATACATGATGATAGGATGACATAGCATTACAGTAGCAAGTTACCAAACTTAAAAACCTTAATAGAACACGGAAGAAAAAAAAATATTATATAGAAAAAATATTTTTCGCATTTCCTGCATACCTACTTTGAACTCCAAGCAAACACCATAGAGAATAGACAGATTCCCTGGATATTGGATCAGTGTTTCTATTAAATTCATGTAGTTTGACTGATTATCCTAGTCTCTTGATTATTCAAGGTGTTTTATTGAGACTGATTACACAAAGGTATGTTATTATTTTAAGATTTGTTAAGGGGGAAATTTTATTAAATGAAAAAATGAAAGACATCAATAAATAATTTCTCTTTAGTTTGCAAATTAACATTTATTTTGATACTGTTGACTAGATTATGAGTAAATGTCTGATTCAGATTTGTTTTAACACCTGCAGGAAAAAGTGACCCATTTTGTGAAGTTAGCATGGGAGTGCAGGAACACAAGACTAAGGTCATCAACTCAACTTTAAACCCTAAGTGGAACCAGTCCATGCAGTTCACCATCCGAGACGTAGAACAGGATGTCTTGTGTATTACAGTGTTCGACAGAGATCTGTTCTCCCCTAATGGTGAGATGCCTACTGTTCACAATCAACTTGTTCATTTTAAAACTGGTTGATAAAAATCTGAATACTCATAATACATGTTTACAAAATATTAAGCGGGAAATAAAACAACAATTTTGGTTGTTATCAATCCTCATTTTTAATTTAAAATAAAAGTTATTTATTAGGGCCCCTATACGGAGATACGGGTGCCCTATAGTAATCACTCTGTCTGTCTGTCTGTCTGTCTGTCTGTCCGTCCACAAATTTTGTTCATGGCTGATAACTTTGGTATTTATTGACCGATGTACATGAAACTTGGTCAAGATGTTCAGTTCACAAAAATACACATTGAGGTTAAAAGTCAAGGTCAAAGGTCAAGGTCATTAGGTTCAAATTTCAAGGTCAAATTTTGCATCTTTTCACTGATGAACATTTTGTTATGACCCTTTGTAGCAATGATGCTCAGAATTAAACAAGGAGTCAACTGACCAAAGGTCAAGGTCATCGGGTCAGGGGTCAAGGTCAAATTTTGTAGCCTTTCACTGGAGAACATTTTGGTATGACACTTTGAAGCAATGTTGGTCAGAATTAAACAAGGAGTCAATTGACCAAAGGTCAGGGTCACTGGGTCAAAGGTGAATGTTAAATTTTGTATCTTTTCCCTGATGAACATTTTGTTTTGGCATTATGCAGCAATGTTGGGTAGAATTAAACAAGGAGTCAATTGACCAAAGGTCAGGGTCACTGGGTCAAAGGTGAATGTTAAATTTTGTATCTTTTCCCTGATGAACATTTTGTTTTGGCATTATGCAGCAATGTTGGTCAGAATTAAACAAGGAGTCAATTGACCAAAGGTCAAGGTCACTGTGTCAAAGGTCACGGTCAAATTTTGTATCTTTTCTCTGATGAACATTTTTTTACGACTTTATGAAGCAAAGTTGGTCGGAATTTAACAAAGAGTCAACTGACTTAAGGTCAAGGTCACTCGGTCAAAGGTCAAGGTAAAATTCAGTATTTTTTTGCTGGTGAATATATCATTATGACACTTAGAAGCAATGTTTGTGGGAATTGAACAATGTGTCATTCTTGATGTTTATGGGGGATATATTGCCACAAGACGGGGCCCTTACTAACCTGTCAGTGTTCTAGTTCAAATTAGGCTATATGAGGCATACAACAAGATGTATTCCAGTTTTCATATTATCGTTAATAGCGCCTTCCACTTATAAGTACCCCTGCCCTTTTTTCAGCCGTTATTAAAAATCATATAAATGACCCCTTCCCAAACACCCTTCATTCTGGCCCTCTCCAGTTAACAAAATAAAGTATAATATACTCCTTATAAAAAACAGGGAACAATTTTGAAATTCCCCAGAAAAGGAATATATCCGACAACTGTGTTACCTGTACAGCAACTGACACAACTTCTGTTTTGTTATCTTAATACGCTCCCCCTTCGGCCAGATTTTAATGCACCCTGGTCGCTAATTATGATAAATACGGTAGCTAGTCCTCAGATGTTTTGTTATATCGGTCAACAATTTGATGGCGGCATCAAATTAATGATTCTTGGCTTGAAGAAAAAAAAACCATAACAGGTGATATGATTCCATGTTATCTACATAAAACTTTTATAACTGTTCATACTGCATATACAAAACAAATATACAATGCATAGAAATTGTGACAGTATTCACATTTACTTTGATTACAATTTCATATTTTACAGATTTCCTAGGACGGACAGAGATCTGTGTTAAGGAAATTATGGATGAAAACACCACCACTAAAGGACCAATCCAAAAGAGGCTGTTGTTACACGAAGTCAGCTCGGGGGAGGTTCTGGTGAAACTAGACCTCCAACTATATGACAAAGATACATAACAGCCACACACAGGACATCACTCCCTGGCCACTACTGTATCAACAGTGATGTACAGGGGTGAGACCTACAGTGTTAACTCGGGGGTGAACATCTTATTTGAAGGTGGCAAGTGTCTATACTTAATATCTTGAATCCACTTTCTTAGACTTTGTCCTGATATTTCAAAAAAGAACCAGTAACTTCATTTTTTTTTTAAACTGCAGAGGCTCCTCGTTGGTCTTGATATGATAATCTTCTTATTTTGTATGATGGCTGAATAGGAAGTATTCCATTTTTAATGCAGAATCCCGTCTTAAACGTTGTAACATTTGGAAAACCAAAGCCCCTTTTGTATGGGGGTATGTTTTACAAATCCTTATGTTGGAATGGACTTTCAGCTGCAGTAGTCTCCCTGCTGGAGACTTTCCGGTGCTTGTGAGTAAATAATGGATGGAAGATCTTGTTATCTTGATGTCCTCAAGGTTTTGACGGATGGACTGCACAGTCACGGTAACTTGCAGCATACTCCAGTTGGTCAGATGATATAGCTGTGATTTTTCTAGCCTACAGTGAGTGCTCTTTAAGCCACAGCCTACCCCCTATCAACGCAGCATTACGACAGATATTCACCATTGTTTGGCCCACATGAAATCCTATGTTTAAAATGTTGTGATTGAGATCGTGTATAATAGGTATTGCTTGGTTTGTACGGTATGTATATGATAGGTGTTTCTGTTTGTTGTGTATTTAACCATTGACAGTCATGTCCAATCTTGATTCACATTTCATTATAAAAGAATATTTTGCTTTTCCAAGAAATATTCGCTCTTTTTTGTATAATTTTTTTTTTAAACTTGTTCAAACACTGTCATATACACACTAAATCAAAATGAGCTATTCAATGACTATTACAGTAAAATATTGGTCAGAAAGTGAAAAAAGGGGGAAAAATGAGATGAACATTTGTATATTAAAGACAAGTTGTTAATGAGATCACAATTCAACAATATCCACTCCGTATACAATGGTTTTACTGAATTTTGTTGCACATTTTCATGATTAGTTCATCATAATCCAGCTCCTGTGTTATATAAACTGTAAAAATTGTAACACTGTATAGTACTTATCAAAGGTAAAGACATATTAGAATGTATTACCGATGTCGCTATCACAAAATATTTATTTAAGTCCTTTTCTAGAGAAATGTACAACATAATGACATCTAATAATGTACTTACTGTTGTTGTAATACAAAACAAAAATAAAAATACTACTGGGATCCAGCACTTTACTAGTGTGGCTAATGCAGCTGTAGCATAGTATCAAAATGAAAGAAGAATACCTTGACAAGGGAAGTAACTGATGGTTATGCTTATGGTTTTTAAAGGTTTCGCATACAATGTTAACCCCACAAATGTGTTCCAGGAACAAAATGTTAACTTGTTATGATTAAATACTATTCAGTAATTTCTGAGTTAAAGTGGATAGTTATTCTCTACATGTGTACTGTATACAACCTAATAAGGGCCCCATCTCTCCTATAAGCACCCCCTATCCTTTTTATTTTTTCAAATATCCCAACCATACACCATAATTGGTAAGCGTCTATGAAAAAAATGTCTATTGCATTTTTTGGTGAGTTTTTTTGGAGAATTTTGGTAGATATTGCTATGTGCCAGTAACAAAATGTTTACTTGTGATGATAAAATACTATTCAGTAATTTCTGAGTTGAAGTGGATAGTTGTTCTCTAAACATGTGTACTGTATACAAGCTAATTTTGGTCGATATTGCTAAGTGCCCAGAGCATTTAGCAGGTCTAATATTGTAATTAAGTGTTGGATTCGAAATCCTGACTAGACTGTATAGAAATAAGGGGCTAACAGTGGATATACCAGTAGCTGTATTGTGTTTTTACGTAAGCACCAAAATGTTGTTTGATGGGTGCGGGAAGTGATTTATATAATGTTACTTTAGTTTTTCACACTGTACCAGATGATTGTTTGTCTCCAACTTAAACATAGTCACAACTTGTCAATTGTGAGATTCTAGTCAGCCGTACAAGGCAGGATGATACGATAATACTCTTAATTATGTGAAGCCATTAAATTTGATGATAACTGTAGATTACAATTAGCATATATATATACAATACATCAAATATGTACGACAAAAATCTACTGTTGGAACAACTTTACTGGTTCTCAGAAACACAAAGTGAAATGCATGACAAATTTACTGGTACTCAGAAATACGAAATTTCAAATGCAATCACAAAACATAATGAAATCGGTTGACTAAACTATATATTTCAACATTTTGAAATTACGTAATTTTGAGATTTTTTTTTATATTAAAAACTAACATGCCATTGAACTTAACTAGACTTTGAACAAAGTTAGTGTAAAATAAGTTGTGTGAAGTTCAAAGTTCAAGGTCAGGGTGTATTCGATATAGACATACACTTGTTCAATTTCACACATGGAATTTAAAAAAAATATACCTGAACATTTATTTGTGGTATATATACTGTAACTTTTTAACAGGAAACAACTTCAGGGACAATTACCCGGTATTCTGATGTCAGTGATGTCCATATGATGTATTTTTACAGTAACTGTGGTAGATATTTGTCAGATGTAAATCAACTTTAAAGTGGTTGATTAATTAAGGCTACACATTTTATCTTTGTCCAGTAGTGAACTTCACTCTCTTGACTATTTGACTGAATTACCTTGAGTGTTTGATTTACCTGGTAAGTGGTAACTATCTCAAAAACTCAACATAAATATCTGGAAGTCTTGACTGAATAGAACAAGTGCTACAAGGCAGATTTAACCTATGGGCCATGCCTTTTTTCATTTTATTTTTTATCAAGTTGTAATGCATCATTATCACACAAAATAGCTTTCAATGCTAAGTCAAGCTAGAGCATGTGAGATAAATAAGCTGAGCACTAAAGATTCTCAGTCCTGTTCTTATTAAGATAATTGAAAGGTTATTATGAAATGTGTTAATCAAAGGTTTGCCTGGACAAGATGTTCCTGAAAAATAAGCACATATTTGACCTTTGACTTTGGGGTCAAGGCCACAATGACCTAATGACAGTTCACTGCCCATCGTCTATTGGTGGTGCAGGTGTACTGCAAGTTTCATCAAGAGTAATAAATGTTTTGTTTTGCCAGTTAGTGTGAACCAACTTGGTGTCTATTTTGTTTTTCTTTAAATGTAATAAAGATCTTTTTCTTTGAATAGGAATCAGCTCCACTCTGGAAAAAAATTATCCTTACTTGCATTGAAAGATTACTAATTACTGTAGACTCCTTTTTAGAAAGGGATGTAATTTTATTAATTAAAAATAAAATTGTTATTCTATACCTTGCAACAGTTTGGTATTTTGGGGAAGACAAACATATATATATACTTACAAGTATAACAATGTGTTTAAGATTGATGTCGGAACGTAAGTGTTTTCATTTGTAATGGATAAGGGGCAATTGATATAAAAATGATGAAAAGCAACTTTCGAAAATCTTACCAAAAATTCTGTCCAACACTACAGAGTGCATCCAATGTATAATAAATAGTTTACTGTGTACTGGTATACCAGAATTTCTAGTCTGATGGGTAAACATAATTATGCTTCCAATATATTTACAATGTATAACCTTTAAATGCAATTCTTATGAATTCAGAATAGATTTATTTTTTGTCAATTTGTGGAGCAAAAGAAAAAATAGTTTAGTAAAAGTGTTGACTGAAAACGTTTTCTTGGTTAATATCGTCTGCAAAACCGTATTTTTTTTTTTTTTTTTTTTTTTTTTTTTTTTTTTTAGTATTTCTGAATTTCACAAGATCTATATTTTTAACAAGTTTTTATGAAATACACACTAATGGTGATGTAAATAATCTCGCTTATGACAATATTTGAATAAATTTTTACGATTTTAATGATGGGTTTGATGTGTAAGGTTCAGGTGAATTCAGTGTTTTCGTGGGTTCATGGGTACTGTTTACGGATCCTGACAAATTTACATGAATAACATAAAGTGTGATCAATGCTTTTTCTAAGTTGGTGCAAGAATTTTAACACAATCTATTTCCTAACTACCTTTATACGTTGTTTTTATTTTATATTTTCTTTTCTTTCCATTGTTTTATGTACATATTGATTTGATTTTATTTTACATTCCCTTGTAAGGTGCAGGTTCACTGATTTACTGATAATCTTCAGTGCAACTGACGTAATTTGGTGGAAATTCTTTTTCTTTTTTTTTCATCACTACTCCATTCACGTTTTATTGTTGTTATCATACTGTTTAACATGGATGGGAAACATTCTGGTGACATCACATCTTGTGGCTTCCAGCTGAGGTGTGTCAATGCATGTTTTCACTGCGAAGTTGTTGGGAGTTGTCTCCCTTTTGCAATTAGCATGATGTAATTACCGGGTAATCAGATTGACTTGAAGGCTAATATATTAATCCATTCATTCTCGTGTTCCTTTCAAATATATGATCAATTGAATAAAAATCCATTCATTAAAGTTAGTTTTACTATGGAACTCTTTTGGAAAAAGAGATACATGTACATGTGTTAGAGGTACCATATATCCTTAAATATATTTTACTCTTTTTTTTTATGAAAACAAGCAAATTAATATGGCATTGATTGTACATGAAGTCGTTGTTAAATTTGTATTGACAGTAAATGGTTTAACATTAAAGTCTTTCATTTTAGGATTCCTTTCTATCTAAAGGCAAAATACTAGAGAATTACATTTAATACACATATATACAGACCGTTGGGTTTGGGATCTGTGCCCCCCGGGGCCCCCCCCCCCCCTGTGGCTTTTCATATATACAGTAATTTTACTTTTAATTAAACTGTAGCGAGACTGGGCCAGTTAGATCAGTTAGTAAGAGCAGTATTGTGATCCCTGTACCATTGCCACTAAGTATATTGCATAATGTAACTAAGTATTGTAAACTGTTCCATCTGGCATGACTATAGCTGTTATAAATCTTTTCTGTTAAGAAAACCATACCTTGTGGGACTTTGATGAAAAATGATAAAGATGAAATCAACAAAATATATTCAACAGCAGTGTTCTGATTGTAAAAAGTTCAGCGAGACTAGACCAGGATTCAAACCCTTGACCTCAGATTGTAATATCCTTGCTGTAACTCATTAAGCTACCTGGTCAACGGAACTATCCTGGCCCACTACAGTTATATCCAAACATAAGTTAAGGGGAGGTTACTGTACATAGTAGAAACAACAGTGTAGTGGGACAGGGATCCTTAAGGGAACACAAGATTATACATACATTTGTTAAATCAATAAATGGGGAGGCACATGTTATTTATTAGGATTTTTAGGTCTGCAGTATTAGTACTATCGGTCTGCTTGGATTTCCATCCCTTCAATTTGGTAAAATGTGCCAGAAATAACCTTAATACAGTAGTCTTACATGTGTTTGTTAGATTTAATGTTTGAACTAGTTCATGTACATTATATTCTCTTACAAATCCAAAATCTTCCATTATTTTATCACATTTATTCATGTTATTTTATTATTGAAAGTGTTCCTGATACATCCTTTGACTTCGTGGAACTTTATGTTCAGTTGATATAGAAAAAATAAGATTATCGTCGTAGTAAAGAATGAAATTTTAAGATGAAATTAAGTGTCTATGATTTGTCTTCTGCTTGAATATCATATCCTCTGTAAATTGTAAATTGATGATATTTTTTTTATTTTATAGAACGTAGCACAGAAATTTGGAATCAAAAGTAAAGGTTATTTGTGTAAATAAGGTATAAATGTACAGTACTTTGCAGAAATTATTATTTAGAGTTATTTTCCCTCTCTTTCAGTTAATGTAT